TGAAGTAAGTTCAGGTTTAATGGCTGATCAGGGAACTAAGATCCCACATGCCATGTAGCATTGCCAAAAGTGAAAAAAAATTTTATATTAATATATTTTATAGCTTATAGACACAAAATAAAATGATGTATATAGTGTAGTATACATTGGATAGGGTACCTGTATCTGTTAGGGAAAGTACTAGAAAGATAAAATTCTAGAAGGGTATGTAATGAAAAATGGTAATAGTAACTATGTTGAAATTATGGTTGATTTTTGTTTTCCTTTCTTTATCCTGAGCTACACACTCTGAAATGAGCTTCCAGTTTTTATGTAACATAATATTTTTTAAAAAGCAAGCAAAGACTGCTTCCTGTAACCCTGTGTTCTTTCTAACTGCTTTACCTCCCACAAGTAAGGTGGTAACACAGTTTTTTCCTTCCAAGGCACTGACTGTTTTCTGTTTAGGCAAGGACAGCTCAGAGGCTAGGCCACCCTCCTCTGTATTCCTCATAGTGTTTATCAGGAGGTACCTGAAGTACCTTTCCCCAAAACCCTATTTAATCTGTATTTGACAGAAAAAGGTTTGGAGAGGCTAAATAACTTGCTAGGGTCACAGAGCAACTAAATAAAAGTTAATCTGGGATTCTGACTCCAGAGATTAAACTTTTATGCAGGAGGAGACTTGAGACTTAATCTTTTTCTCTGATTTTCTACTTCCTTTCTGTTAAAATACCTACCTGGTGGGACATCTTTAGAATTAGAATTAAGCTATGTAAAGGAGGCAAGCATGATGGCCTGGTATGTTTTGGGTTTACTCTAGGACGTGATGATCCCTCACACTAGGAATTTTTTTCCCAATTGCATAGCATTTAATTGTTAATCAGAGCCATGAATCTGAGCAGCTACTTTCATGCCCATTTACAAAGACATAGAATCTTGAATTCTAGTTCAAAAAAGTGTTTTAATTAAAGGCCAGTTTCAGGAACTGAACACATACAAATAACACCACCATGGTAACTTGTATAGGAACCAAAATTGCTTTTTATTAGTATCATAAGAGGATTATTTATGAAAAGAGCTTATTATTTTTACAATATGTATAACTTATAATAATAAAGCACACTCATTTGAAGCATACAGTTTGAGTTTAACAAATCTGTACCCGTCTCTAAATACCACCGCAAGTAAGATGTAAACATTTCCACCACCCCCAAATACAGTTTGAATTTTGTGTTGTCTTAGAATTTCATCATAAGGCTATAACTTTACATCATTTGGTCTTATCCCTCATGATCCAGAACTAGCCAGGGGCCAATAACAATAATGTGTCTGGGTATATTATTTTCTGAGATGTTATCTGCCTATAACTCTAACAAGATGGTTTTATTTTTCTGTTTTGTGTTTGATCTGTTGATGTTTCTGTAGCCTGCGGCGCTGGCACAAGAAACATGGATGAGCACTAACAAGGGAGTCTACATTGGAATATCTGTTACTGTTTTGGCGTTGCTGCTCATGTTTGTGGTTTTCTGGATTTGGAGAAGTAAGTCACCTCAAGACTGAAATATTGAGGAATATTCTTGAGCCCACAGGAATATTCTTAAGCCAAATGTATGTAACTGTATATTTCATGTGATATCAGTTTCACATAACTTCCTTGGTTCTTACCTTGTTGTTTCCTTATTTTTTATTTATCTTAAATTTATTGTTCCATAAACATGATATTTAAATTATTCATAGGAGAAATTAAATATGGAGAAATAAGCACTGGTTGTGTAAAGCTGAGATTTGGAAGTCAAAAGCCACTGTAATATACAAGATTTGTTCCCTCCCATTTGTTCTTTTCCCATTCCCTCAATAACAAATTTTTATCCCTATTGGGGGTAAAGCTGTTGATGGTTTTATAACACCCACTTAATAGAAGAAGCACAGAGACATTAGGAAAGTATATGATTTTGGAGCTAGGAGAAGTACAAAGGGTTTCAGATGACAGTTATCCAATAACTCCTGGTCTCCTTCCAACATTTGTGTGTATATGAGTGTGTAAAAACCATCTTCTATGGGAAAAGTGCAATATTCAGGGTTTTTTTTCAGTGAAATATAATGGCATAATGTAAGCTAGGGCGTGTAGGTCAATACACTAAACCTACGAATCACAAGATACTTTATACCAAGGGGCTACTTGGTTTCTGGAGATTCAAGAGAAGTTAGCTGGATTAGGTTAGGGTACAGATTGATTTTTTTCTCCTTCTTTTTAAAAACATTCTTTCTTCTAAATTAATTTTTTTAGATTCTGAGAGCTGTACTGATTTTGCTTATATTAAAGTAAAAACCATAATAATATATTGGTTTGGAAGAAAAATCTCATGAACTCTTTGGCTTGCATATTTAATTTTCTCTTCTTTTTCCCTTCAATTTAGGATATTTTTGCCTGGGTAGCAAGGTGGAGCTACTACGGTAAGTTTGAAATGGTTTGTGTTAGTAATTCCTTTTGATGTTCTTACTCTAGTAAACATAAAGAAAATTTCTCTGTCCCTCTCCTCTTCCTTCCGAGTTCTCCATTTTATACTCTGGATCATGAAAAATCTAGTATACAGAGCACCTCCATTGCTGTTCAAACTTCCAGTGATGATTTTAGCATCTCTATGCTACTTCAGTCGTGTCCAACTCTGTGGGACCCTATAGAAGGCAGCCCACCAGGCTCCTCTGTCTCTTGGGATTCTCCATGCAGGAATACTGGAGTGGTTTGCCATTTCCTTCTCCAAGCATCTCTATATTTCCCTGGAATTGTGTCATAACTGCTACAGAAACAACACCTCAAATGTTATCTCTTAGAGCATGAGAACTAAATTGCAGATATTGTTTCAGGGATCATTCGAATGGGTTGTTTAGATTGTTTTTCGATTTCATTCAGTGCTTTGTTTATTGCATGTCTATTGAATCTCTATTATATTCCAAAAAGATGAGCAGAACAGACAGAAAACATATAAATGAATAAGCAGGACCTTATAGAACTTCCAGAGAAATACCATGGAGAATATTGGAGCAGGGCAGTAGGCTATGTGAGTGAGCTCCAAAAAAGCAGAAGACAGCTCTGCAAAAATCTGGAGAAAGACACCTCCAGGCTGAAGACCTGCAAAGGCAGGGGGTAGGGACATGCCTCCAGCTCCCCACAGTTCCCACCATCCCCTATTATTCCATACCCAGCCTGCTCTGTTCATTTATGTTAGCTGTCTGGCCTCACAGGCATTTCAATTTACAGTTTTTGCAAATTCACCCCTTCACCCAATAAAAAATTAAATCTTCTTTGTAAGCATCCCTGAAGTCATTTCCCCAAACATCTGTAAAGGAAGGAAACCACTCCCTACTTCCAACAAAATAAACTGCTTCATCTGGTCCAGCTTGGGATTTAAGCAGTCTTTTTTGATTCCAAATTTGTCCCTCTTTAACTGCCATCCATTATTCTTAGTTCTCTTTCATTGGATGTTTGTACCCAATCTTTCCTACATCTGAGTTAATCACATGAAGGAAGGAAGGAAGTCAGTACAGTCGCTCAGTCGTGTCCAACTCTTTGCGACCCCATGGACTGTAGCCTACCAGGCTCTTCTGTTCATGGGATTTTCCAGGCAAGAGTACTGGAGTGGGTTGCCATTTCCTTCTCCAGGGGATCTTCCCAACCCACGGATCGGACCCAGGTCTCCAGCATTGCAGACAGACGCTTTACCATCTGAGCCATCAGGGAGGCCCTAATCACATGAGCCAGTCCACAAAATACGCCTTGAGTAATCTCCAGCAATAGCAAGTGTTCCATAGACGCTGGAGTTTATTACTGCAGACGTGCCCTTCACAGTAATAAACCTGTGACACAGGCAGTAGTAGTATTCTCAGTTTACAAATTAAAAAACAGTTTTAGAGATGTTAAGTGGCATCCAAGGTCACATCACACAGCAGGTCTCTTAGAGTCCAAAGCCCAGACTTTTAGGACTTTTTGACTGTCAGCTTCCAAGAGTGGAAAAAAAAATAAGTACTCCCTACAGACAGAAAAGCATGAATGATAACATCCTTTTATTTCATTTTTGTTCTTTCAATGTTTACTTCTTTAAAGTTTCAGTTTTTCATCATTTAATTAGAAAAGAAAATATTTATTGTAGAAGATGCTGTATAATATAGGAAAGCAAACAAAACCAAAACAAAAAGGTGTATTTCCTTGTGATGTTATTTTTTGGGCAGCTATATCAGGTTGACTCAATTTGAGCTACTGACACCTAACCTTTTTCCATACATGTATGACTCATCTGTTTAAAGATCAGAGCTGAGTGAAGATTCAGTGCATTTCATATCATTTCTGTACAGGCTTAGGTAATAAAAATAGTGACTACAGACAAGTTCTATAAAAGCATTGATATCAAAACTCTACAAATGACCTTTGTGTACACTTGATGTGTGAGTCTTCATGTTATAAAACTCACCTAATCCATAGCTTTCTAATTTTGACTGTTAAGGCAGGCTGTGAGTTTTGACTCTGACCTGGAACACACTTAGGTGAAGCAATACTATTTTACTACATCTGATATGCTCTGATATTTTGTATACTTATCTTAAATATAGGATACATACCACTAAATAACATTCGCTAAAGGGTCACAGTCCTCAGCTAGAAAAACACCAGCCAAACCATTTCCTGCCCATCTTTGCAACTGTACATCCTGGTTTAGTACTTCAATTTGATGTGTGGTATTTGTCTTCTTAGATTACAAATTTTTGTGTTCTATTGCACGAGTGTGTTGAAAGAGACCAGTGTGAGTTTTTTGAAACCGAAAGGTGTGACTTTCTATCTCCTTATAAAAAATAATTTCCTGTAACTTCATATTCACAATTCTCGAACTTCTATTTATTTCATAGGATGTTTGAATGGGGCTCTGAGAAATGCAAATACCCAGGCTTGAATGAACATAAACAATTAGGCTGCTCATACTTGAGAAGTGGTCTTCTTTTCTCTTACTCATGTTATTCTTTTACAGCGTGATTCCATTGAAAGATTCTCACATTGGAGCTTTGAAAAATGCAGCTCTGAAGCCTATCCAAGCAGAAGACAATGTCTACATTATTGATGACTATCACTAAGTCCTGGATCCAGATTCTAAGGTGTTATGCCCTTGACTGTAGAAGACAGTGACCAGATACCGTGTCAGAGTCTTTTCAATCAGCTGCACAATTTTTCAGTCAGTTTCCCATGGTGTTCCTATGAGTCAGGGACAGTGGGTAGAGTGTTGCTAGCTCAATTGTGTAAAGTCAACCTCTGTCACAGAGTCCTAATTTTTTATACTAAATTGGCTCCAACTTTCTAATCATTGCAGAGGTCCCTTCAAAGCATGAAACATACTTTTAGAATTGTACATTCTCTTTAGACCTCATGAATCCTGTTTTCCATCAAGAATTCTCATTGGGAAAATAGAAAAAAACACTTCTACCTCAGTTATCAAGGCTGTCAAGAATACCTGAATTCAGCTTAGAATCAGGACATGTAGTCTGGGACTTAAAGGACTTAACATGCAAGCATTTCATAATTGTCCTTTTTTCTTTTTTTTTAAATCAACTGACTTCAAATATGATATTTCTTAGGGTCCCCAAGGTTTCAAATCATGGTGTGTACAGATTTTTATTTACACAATAGAAAAATGGAGATGAGTGTGATTTTGCCATTATAGACAAATTTGGTTTCTCAGGGTTCTGAAATACAAGGCATTAAATGCTTTCTTTGGGAGGAGGATGGTATTTGAGCAGTTTGAAGAAGCAATGGTATTGAGTTGACCATGAAGACACCAGGAGAAGAAAATCAATAGCCATATAATTTATGATATTTTTGCTATATCAATGCCACAGTTCTAGGTGCTTATGTTGACAACTGGCAGGCTCTGAATTTCAGAATGAGGCAGGGCAGAAATAAATACAAGGAAAAAAGAGAGGGAGGGAGTAGCAAGAGGTTTTCTGTTTTAGAAAATAGAGTTTGAAAATATAATAGTATTGTTTGAGAGTGTTACCACTTTCTACAAAATGCTAAACTGTCCTCAAACCACTGATTTTTTAAAATTGTTTTGGAAGGATAAAAGGCCTTTTTCATATTGAATCAATACCTGTGTTATATTTCTTTTTTACAACTCAACTAAATTTTGGTTTTATCAGAAGAATTAGACAAAGGCTAAATGTAAGGATAATTTTAATCATGTAGAAGCATTTCTACATGAGCAGTTAAAAGACTGGAGATTAATTTCACTTTGAGTAAACCCTGAAATAACTCATGCTTGAGTAATCTGGGAGACATTCAGAGCTACTCACACCAAAGTGGTCCATGAAGGCTGGATGCTTGTTTTTTTTTTTTTCCTAATTATAAATTTACTTATTTTAATTGGAGGCTAACATTGAAAAAATGCATTTGAATCAGTTCTAATGAGATGTATGAAACTGGAGCCCATTATACAGAGTGAAATAAGCCAGAAAGATAAAAACCAATACAGTATACTAATGCATATATATGGAATTTAAAAAGATGGTAACAATAACCCTATATGCAAAACAGAAAAAGAGACACAGATATACAGAACAGACTTTGGGACTCTGGGAGAAGGCAAGGGTAGGATGTTCTGAAAGAATAGCATTGAAACAAGTATACTATCAAGGGTGAAACAGATCACCAGCCCAGGTTTGATGCATAAGACAAGTGCTCAGGGCTGGTGCACTGGGAAGACCCAGAGGGATGGGATGGAGAGGGAGGCAGGAGGGGGGATCGGGATGGGAACATATGTAAATCCATGGCTAATTCATGTCAATGTATGGCGAAACCCACTACAATATTGTAAAGTAATTAGCCTCCAACTAATAAAAATAAATGAAAAAAAAAGTATTCTTTTATAAACAATAAAAGAAAATAATTGGAGGCTAATTACATTACAATATTGTAGTGGTTTTGCCATACATTGACATGAATCCACCACGGGTGTACATGTGTTCCCCATCCTGAACCCCCCTCCCACCTTCCTCCCCATTGCATCCCTCTGGGTCATCCCAGTCCACCAGCCCCGAGCACCCTGTCTCATGCATCGAACATGGACTGGCAATTCGTTTCACATGTGATAATATACATGTTTCAATTCCATTCTCCCAAATCATCCCACCCTCGCCCTCTCCCACAGAGTCCAAAAGACTGTTCTATACATCTGTGTCTCTTTTGCTGTCTCACATATAGGGTTATTGTTACCATCTTTCTAAATTCCATATATATGCATTAGTATACTGTACTGGTGTTCTTCTTCCTGTCTTACTTCACTCTGTATAATAGGCTTCAGTTTCATCCACCTGATTAGAACTGATTCAAATGTATTCTTTGTAATGGCTGATTAATATTCCATTGTATATGTACCACAGCTTTCTTATCCATTCGTCGACTGATGGACATCTAGGTTGCTTCCATGTCCTGGCTATTATAAACACTGCTGTGATGAACATTGGGGTACACGTGTCTCTTTCAATTCTGGTTTCCTCGGTGTGTATGCCCATCAGATTACTGGTCTTATGGCAGTTCTATTTCCAGTTTTTTAAGGAATCTCCACACTGTTCTCCATAGTGGCTGTACTAGTTTGCATTCCCACCAACAGTGTAAGAGGGTTCCCTTTTCTGCACACCCTCTCCAGCATTTATTGCTTGTAGACTTTTGGATAGCAGCCATTCTGACTGGTGAGAGATGGTACCTCATTGTGGTTTTGATTTGCATTTCTCTGATAATTAGTGATGTTGAGCATCTTTTCATGTGTTTGTTAGCCATCTGAATGTCTTCTTTGGAGAAATGTCTGTTTAGTTCTTTGGCCCATTTTTTGATTGGGTCGTTTATTTTTCTGGAATTGAGCTGCAGGAGTTTCTTGTATATATTTGAGATTAATTCTTTGTCAGTTGCTTCATTTGCTATTATTTTCTCCCAATCTAAAGGCTGTTTTTTCACCTTGCTTATAGTTTCCTTTGTTGTGCAGAAGCTTTTAAATTTCATTAGGTCCCATTTCTTTATTTTTGCCTTTATTTCCAGTACTCTTGGAGGTGAGTCATAGAGGATCCTGCTGTGATTTATGTCGGAGAATGTTTTTCCTATGTTCTCCTCTAGGAGTTTTATAGTTTCTGGTCTTACATTTAAATCTTTAATCCATTTTGAGCTTATTTTTGTGTATGGTGTTAGAAAGTGTTCTAATTTCATTCTCTTACAAGTGGTTGACCAGTTTCCCCAGCACCATTCATTAAAGAGATTGTCTTTTTTCCATTGTATATCCTTGCCTCCTTTGTCAAAGATAAGGTGTCCATAGGTGCATGGGTTTATCTCTGGGCTTTCTATTTTGTTCCATTGATCTATATTTCTGTCTTGGTGCCAGACCATACTGTCTTGATGACTGTAGCTTTGTAGTAGAGCCTTAAGTCAGGCAGGTTGATTCCTTCAGTTCCATTCTTCTTTCTCAAGATTGCTTTGGCTATTTGAGGTTTTTCGTATTTCCATACAAATTGTGAAATTATTTGTTCTAGTTCTATGAAAAGTACCGTTGGTAGCTTGATAGGGATTGCCTTGAATCTATAGATAGCTTTGGGTACTATACTCATTTTCACCATATTGATTCTTCTGATCAATGAACACGGTGTATTTCTCCATCTATTTGATTCTTTCACCAGCATTTATAGTTTTTTATATATAGGTCTTTTGTTTCTTTAGGTAGATATATTCCTAAGTATTTTATTCTTTTCGTTGCAATGGTGAATGGAATTGTTTCCTTAATTTCTCTGTTTTCTCATGTTAGTGTGTAGGAATGCAAGGGATTTCTGTGAGTTGATTTTATATCCTGCAACTTTACTATATTCATTAGTTAGGTCTAGTAATTTTCTGGTGGCGTATTTAGGGTTTTCTATGTAGAGGATCATGTCATCTGCAAACAGTGAGAGTTTTACTTCTTCTTTTCCAACCTGGATTCCTTTTATTTCTTTTTCTGCTCTGACTTCTGTGGCCAAAACTTCCAAAACTATATTGAATAGTAGTGGTGAAAGTGGGCACCCTTGTCTTGTTCCTGACTTAAGGGAAAATACTTTCAATTTTTCACCATTGAGGATAATGTTTGCTGTGAGTTTGTCATATATAGCTTTTATTACATTGAGGTATGTTCTTTCTATTCCTGCTTTTTGGAAGTTTTTTTTTAAAAATCATAAATGGATATTGAATTTTGTCAAATGCTTTCTCTGCATCTATTGAGATAATCGTATGGTTTTTATCTTTCAATTTGTTAATGTGTGTGTATTACGTTGATTGATTTGTGGATATTGAAGAATCCTTGCATCCTTGGGATAAAGCCCACTTGGTCATGATGTATGATCTTTTTAGTATGTTGTTGGATTCTGTTTGCTAGAATTATGTTAAGGATTTTTGCATCTATGTTCATCAGTGATATTGGCCTGTCATTTTCTTTTTTTGTGGCATCTTTGTCTGATTTTGGTATTAGGGTGATGATGGCCTCATAGAATGAGTTTGGAAGTTTACCTTCCTCTTCAATCTTCTGGAAGAGTTTGAGCAGGATAGGTGTTAGCTCTTCTCTAAATTTTTGGTAGAATTCAGTTGTGAAACCGTCTGGTCCTGGGCTTTTGTTTGCTGGAAGATTTCTGATTACAGTTTCAATTTCTGTGCTTGTGATGGGTCTGTTGAGATTTTCTATTTCTTCCTGGTTCAGTTTTGGAAAATTGTACTTTTCTAAGAATTTGTCCATTTCTTCCAAGTTGTCCATTTTATTGGCAAATAGTTACTGATAGTAGTCTTTTATGATCCTTTATATTTCTGTGTTGTCGGGATCTCTCCATTTTCATTTCTAATCTTGTTGATTTGATTCTTCTCCCTTTGTTTCTTGATGAGTCTGGCTAATGGTTTATCAATTTTATTTATCTTCTCAAAAAACCAGCTTTTGGCTTTCTTGATTTTTGCTATGGTCTCTTTTCTTTCCTATGCATTTATTTCTGCCCTAATTTTAAAGACTTATTTCCTTCTACTAACCCTGGGGTTCTTCATTTCTTCCTTTTCTAGTTGCTTTAGGTGTAGAGTTAGGTTATTTATT